CCGCACCAGCCAGAACGCACGGATCCAAAGCGACGCTCCGGCTGCCTGTGGGATACGTGCGAGAGAAAACCTGCAGACCTGAGAAAAGGCTCTCCTCTCTGAGTCTCTTCCGTGAGTGGACTAAGGGAATGTAACGCACATGCACAGCTTGTCAGTCCCCTGGAGACACTGAAACGCAGCTTCGCAGACCGAACAGCCCCTGGTTCTCACCACTGAAGGAATACGACTTGTTTCTCCACTACCCGCTATGGCTCGCACAGACTGGACTTCAGAGTAACTGGGTGTAATTGTGTCAATTAACAGCAGCCCGTGAGCGGCTCTCCTCTGTCCGCGGTCCTGAACACAATTTGGGTCTGGATTTTGTGGATTTTTCCCCGTTCCATGCTGGCTGGCGGTGGTGGCGTGAGAGCGGACACAAGCGTGATTTCATGGCCAGTGAGGTCATGAGCATCCCGCGGCTCGGCACCGGCGACTTTGGGATCTGAAACAAACACACACAGCGGGACATTTTCGGTTCACCTTGGAGGTCATAAATCATAACCATACACCTTCCCCTCCCCTCTCATCCTCCTCCTCCTTTTCCACCACTAAAGGGTTTTTTTCTGGAGGGGAATTCATCCTGTCAAGAGTGTGACCCCCACCCCCCGTTCAGCAACACCTGCACACCCCCGTCAAACAAAATGAGACTGGCAAAAATGTGTCGACTAAACGCGCTGGGGATCTATTTGTGGGAAACAGTGGTGTTTTTCAGGTAAGCATATGCACTTCATCAATGGAAATTATGATGCGTGTCTCATGCGTATCGGGGTTTTCCTCCTTTTTTCTTGGCTGTTGTTTGGGACATGCATGAAAATTAGAGCCCCCTTTCAGTCCTACATGGTTGAAAGGAATCCAACTGGAGTCCTGTCAAAGTCGTCTTTGGGTTGAAGGTGTTATTACTTATGTGCACGCCAGCATGCATGTCCTAGTGAGTTGAATTAAGTTGCACTGAATCCAGGCAGGATTGTGTGTGGAGCTGGCAGCGACCACTAGTGGGCAAACTGCTTGTGACGTGCTTTTCCAGAATGTCAGGAAGCATGTAAAGAGAATGTCTCGGGACATTTAGGACTTTCATGGCATTTAACAGATGCTCTTTTATGACTCCTAAAGTTGGTAATAGCAGTAACATACAAACACACTGATCAGCAGGTCTTGGGCAGTGTGTATTTGGCTTTCTGTTCACTCAAAGGTAGATTGTTCATCCAAAAACAGTGGAAATGTGAACATTATCAATCATTTCTTAGTTTCTTACATACAAGGTTTGCCTTGCCCGAAAAACCTCAGTTCATTTGTCTCACTGGTTCAGCAACACAATTGGTTGTCATGAGGTTTTGGTCGCAATGTCTTCTTTTATTACAAGTCATCTATAAATCGATTAGCACTGCTGCTGCAGCTGCTGCACTGCTTGTACATCAAGCTAAGTCCTGCTCTAAACACCCAGAGAACAAAAGCAACAGATCAATCAAACATCGGTTTCTTTATTGTTAGAGTTCCAATAAGATGCTTTGTTGCCAAATGCGTCATATTCTGCCAGAAGCTATCTTTTCTTTGTTTTTTCTCCCTGGTGTACCCATGTTGATTATGTGGTCATGTAGTCCCTCCTCCTGCCGGAGGCAATGTTTAGTCATCCCTGGTGCCTCCAAAGTTGCCTATTCATCAAGAGCCTCTTATCATGCTGCATCGAAACCCAAAAGCAATCAAATCCTTGTGTTATTGTTGCAGCAGTGGGTGGGGAATGTGCTAACGTCGCTGTGTAATTGGACACTGAAGGGGGATGTTGCCCAAAATGTAAACTTGCAGTGTTGTGTTGGTGTTTGCTGAAGGACTGGTTCTTCTTACCATTGCTAACTCTGAGAGATGAGACAGTCCAAGTAACTTCAAAACAGTGCTGATTTATTCAAAGGATCACAGGTAAAATTAACATTACACACTCAGGTATCTTGCACCTCCAAACTGCTCACAGGCAGATGTAAGATGAAAGACCCTGAACCCACCAGGCCTATACATTATATCCCCTCGGTTGGGCTAGCCCGTGTGTGTCTGTTGATTAAGTGGTGTGTAGCTAAAAACATTCTCACAGACTTCTAGTAACATGTCGTGACGTCATAATAATAATATTAAACATCCTGTCTGCTGACAGTCATCAACTCTTCTCTCTAGTATCCTTGACCAGATGTACCCTGTAGAAACTCATAAGCATGACTAAGCATTTAACAGTCTAACTAGACATCCTATCTCCACTAAACATTTCTAATACATAAAGTATCTATCCAATTTCTATCTGACTAAAAATACCTAACATTGCCAACGGATTGCTGGTGTTAGTTGATAGTGATTTTCCTGTAAACAGACAGGGAAGATGAGCTCCATGTTTATGATTGTGATGCTTGCAAGTGTTGTCACTGCTCTTGAATAGTGTTCACGTTCAACAGTAATGGCTAATGGGGGCATTCATTTTAATGTAGCAGACAGCTTTACAACATGTTACAGTGAAAATGTATGGACTGGGAATCTACAAATGAATCGCCCATGAGGGATAAATAAAGTCTCCTGAACTGAACGGGAAACATCAGCTCACATACATCAGCTTGATCGTCGTGACTGGCAATGACAACAGAACTCATAACACAAACCACAGTGATGAGCAAAACAAGGTCACAAATGGATGACAAATGGACTCTTAAGGCTTCTGAAGATGGTTCTGTGTCGCTAGAGGACTGTGATGGAGGACAGGCAGGGAAGAGGACAGTTCTGGAGATATCTGGCTCTGGGCCACTTTGGGACACCTAATGCATCATTAACAAGGTGAATGCATTTAATAAAGAGTGAAAAAGTGTCGGGTGTCACTGCCCTTCGCAGGCGTTAAATTGCTCTCCTGGGATCATGAACAGCAGCAGCAGGTTTGGGGCTCTGTTGAGCTCAGCCCACAGGGTTCAGGAATTTATTAGGCAAACGGGATCTGATGAAAAATACTTTGAGCTTCATCATGGGAATTGTAGGATCCAGGCGTTCTGAAGCTTGGCATATCAGAGACTAAAAGTCAGGATGTCTCAGCCTCTGCTGCATCTGTTTTGAGCATTCTTTGTCATAAATCTGTCTTTTGCATGTGCCCAAACCTTCCAGAAATACATCAGTAAATTGCAGGAGTGCCCCCTAACGTCTTCATACACGCTCAGGTACAGTATGGGCGTCGTGTCTCCAGAAACAAACTGGATTACAGACAGTTCTCAAAGGGAAAAATGCAGAAATTAAAGGAAAAAATAAATACAATAAAATAAATTGCATTTTGTTTAAACACTAAGTAACTAGGAAAGAATACCCTAATTAATTGTTATCACCTCCAGGAAGTCACACCCTCTGCCCCAATGGAAGCAAGTTCAGCCTTCTGTGTAAAATAAAGTAACTACTGTTATAAACTAAACATAAAGTATCTTCTGTTTGTAAAATGTTAATTTGCAAAGGAGCCAGTGACTGTAACTGATCAGACAAATGTAGTGGGAGAAAAATAAATATAAAGTTTTCTGATGAACTATATTGAAGCACCAGTTATGCTGGAAAACTTAAGAACAAGTATGAGAAAATTGTAGATAGCTACAGTATAACGCATGTATATTTAGTTAATATGTAAAACTAATAAGTTAATTAAATATATTGGTTGACAAAGGTTTTGCTGTTACACACCAAATTTTTCAAATTGTAAATGACCAGATTTAACTTATGTTTCTGTGAGAACAACTTGCAAACTGGGAATGAGCTTCTTTACTCACGCTGTTCGTCTCACTTTACACTGACAGCATATTGTATGCAAATACCTCATAAGTTGGTTATGTGTCTGGCTCCTGTTTTGCTTCTTTAACCTGCAGGCACCTCGCACGTTTCGCTTTACTGCATCACGTGTGAATATGATTTCCCCGCACAACCTCGGAGCTATTTCATTATGTGGACTATCAAAAGCATTTTCTGAACCTGCTGCAGCGGCTCCCTCATTTCCATTGAATGAGGCAGTTGGGATGGGTGGTAGCGTTGGTGGGGGTGGGTGCAGGAGTTTTGCATTCAGCGCACACTGTTTAGTTAATGAACCAGAGTCAGGATATTGCCATCTCAGCTCCTCGGGCCTGGACTCTGCAGGTCCCTGCTTAATTGATATCTCTTTCCCCTCCGTCCCGACCCAGGCCCCCAAACCTCATTCCACATTCAGCCTTATTGCTAAACATTGATTAGCCTGTCAATGGCCAGGCCCCAGCCTGATGAATGCACATTTAATGCTCGCACATATCTCTCTTTGTCCCTGTTCCTATTATTCATCAAAGAGCCAGGGGAGGAGAATAGAGAATTTAGATCAAGATTGGAACAGCAGGAAACCTTTAATTGTGTACTCGGGCTAAAATCTGTGCACTCTAACAAGACAGGTGAAAGAAAAGTTCCATGAAGGTGAGGTGATTGTCCTTGCTGCCAGCATGTATCAACTTTTCTCTACTATTGTTTTTTTTTTTTTTTTTGTGGTGTGACTTTCTGGAAAAGTCACAATGTTATTTCATATTATATACACCAGTAGAACAAGTGAAGCTGGTTGGATGAGCTACGAAACACCTTCTAAATCTTATTCTGCTTAATGTTAATTCACAAGTGACTGGAAAAAAATGTGATTGTAAACCCAATGACCAGAAAACAGACAGAGACCCATAGAGGACTGTCAGGGTATGAGTGTTTGTACTGGACAACAACATCCATCATGAGTGATTCACTGACCAAGTCAGCCTGAATTTCATGTAGCGAGAGAAGTGTTCAACAAAAGTGGTGAAGGGTTTGCCCTTGTTCCCCCTGAAATTAAAAATGGACTAAAGCCAGACACTAATATAACACTTGATTATAAATGATAAATAATGGTAAAAAAAAATTATGGTAAAATTGACTGTATTTTATATAGCGCTTTCTCACAGTGTGTTGCACTGGCCAAAGTGCTTTTACAGGGAGATCATACACCATTCACACACCGATGACGACAAGGCTGCCATGCACCGGTGCTAGTCAAGCCACCGGGAGCAATTCGGGGTTCAGTGTCTTGCTCAGGGACACTTGGGCATGCGGGGAGACCGGGAGTCGAACCACCAACTTGCTGGTCAGGAGATGACTGCCCTACCTCATGAGCCACAGCCACCCCCGTATATAAAAATAATGTATATAAATGTATATAAATGCATTATAAGTTCTCCAAATAGGTTCATTTTTTGTGGAAAAACAATTCAGCATTTTTTCATTAAATGCAGGAATTTTGGATTCAGTTTTGTGGATCAGTGGGTAGAGCAGTTGTCTCCCAACCAGAGGGTCGGAGGTTTGAATCTCGGTGCCTGTAGTCCACGTGTCAAAGTGTCCTTGGGCAAGACACTGAACCCCCCCTGGTTAGAGCCATCGGTTGAGGTGGCGCCGCAGATGGCTGCCATCGGTTCTGTACCGGAAATAAATTCCTTGTCTGTAACATACTTGGCCAAATAAAGGTGATTATCCTTATTTGCAGTTGCAGCATTTCCTGTGTTGAGTTACATCTAATTCAAAGCAGTTGCTTCCTGCTGTTGTTTCACATTAAAAGCCTTGTTAATTTTTTTAAAGGGTTTTAATGTGAAGCAGCAGGAAATGCACTGTGTCAGTGAGTGTTGTAGTGAATGCCTGATATTAGCTTTCAAACAAAGTAAAAAGGTTGGTGACCACTGGTGA